TTTTTTTTTTTTTTTTTTTTTTTGGGCCCTTGCACTTGCGAGGCAGGCGGTGGAACCACTGAGCCAAATGCTTGGCCCTTGTCTGGTTCATTGTGCTATGACACTTAATATTTAGACAAGAGATTTTTCTGTATTCACTGACCAGCCTTATTTCTCCCAATATTGTAAGAAAATGGGAGTCTAGAAGCAAAAAAGCAGAAACACTTGGCAGATATATGGGATGTGGCTCAGAAGCCAATGTCCAGAGAGAAGAGTATCTGGATGAAAACATCTAACTGGAATATAACTCCACGATGTCTGAGTCACAGTCTGTCCCTGACCCACTCATGAGGTCCTCAATTACCCACTCTTAACCCAGGGAATAGGCACAGTAGGCCTTCACGTCACACATGCCACAAGGCCATGGGAGGGAGATCTTGGGGACAGGCAATGCCATCCAATCTGCCTTGTAAGATGAGTTTAATCCTAATTCCTTCTAGAACTCTCTGTATATAGACAGGTATATGGTAGAAAATTCTATAAAATGTCACCTTTGGCCTCCCAAAGATTTGATACCCACAAATCAAAATCTTAGGGTACTGGCTTGACTCTCACAGTGATGATACTTTGGCTCAAGATACCCAAGGAGTCTCTGGCACAGATACCCATAGCGACATTCATCTCATGGTCTTTCCTTCCTTCTAGAAGATGGACATACAGCAGGGGCAAAAGTAATGACTCATATCAGCATGACAAAAACCACGGCATCTCTCAATAACAAGGGAAGTGCCAGGGAGGATTAGATGTCTAACATCCACCCATCTTAGCACCCAGCACCCTGAGGAAAACACTTCCACCCAACCTTGACACCTAGCACACCAGGGGGGCCAAATCCACAGAATCATCATTGCTGGTCAGCAGCGGAATACCCCCAACGTCTTACCAACTGGGGCAAACACAGTTACCTGCACAATCGGGTGAACAGGAGCCTTGTTCAGGTCTTGCTGTGAGGGTTCCTGGACCAGGCTGGTTGCCACAAAACTGAATCCTCTGAACAAGTGATGTGCATTGGCACTTGGGGGAACACCAGGAGAGTCTGTGGAGAACAGTGGCAGAGCTCAGGCTTCAGGAAAGTGGAGTGAGCTCAGGAGAAATGATGGTGTACATGTGATTATGTGAATGTGCCTCAACCTATGAAATGACTTTGTTTTCACTAGTGCCAACGGTTTGATTTTTAAATGGCCAAATGCTTAGAACAAAACCTTTTAGGATAATCATCAATCACATCTTTTATTTTCCTGTCTTCTGAATTTACTAATATTCTTCATCACAATCCAACATGAATACCTGCTCCTGACTGAGAGAAAGAGTGGCCAATGATCCAGGAGGGATTGTCAGGGAATAAGAACATCACATGTTGTGCACCTGATTTCTGGGTCCAGCAGGCACCTTGTGCAGGGGTGCAGACAGTGAAGACCTGGCATCCTCCCATCCTACCTTCCCCACACAACTTTCCTAGGACACTGGAGTAAAGTCGTTTGAGCCCACAGTATGCCAGAAGTGTGAAAGGAACCACTTCATGAATTATTTTTTTAAACTCTGTAAGATTTGTTCAAAAGTGTGACTATCGTGAGACCAATCCCACTTCCTATTCATGGCTGAGTAAAACAAGAGGATAAATGACCCCAGGAGGGAGTATTTACATTGTTATAACAGACAAGAAGCTAAATTCTCTATTTGGCAAAGCACTAGCAGAGATCAATGAAAAAGAGCAAAAAACCCTAAAGAAGTAGTGATGGCTATCAAAGGCAGGCAAAGATACTCATTCTCTCAGATGAGTGGATGTACGCATATTTAAATGAGATTGCAATTCTGCATGAGGAATTATCCAAAATAAAAGTAATCAGCCATGCCCAAGTTTGACAGGGGGTAGGTAGACTTAGAGCCAAAGGAGGGAACAGCATCAGCATAACCTCATTAGGTGGGTGGGCCATGACGGCCACATCTGAAGTGTACAAGTCCTCTGAAGATCAGTGCTGTATCTGGGGATCTGTCCTGCAGGATTACTTTCAAAAGTACTTAAAATTAATGTAGAAAATGCCTGCTTTAGCAGAATCTGTTACAGATAAAAAGGGGACTGTAGCAGATATCCCTACCCAGTTCTAATGGGCTACGAGTGGTACCTGCTTCTTGCTTTCCATAATTCAGCTATAGTTTTATATCAGGAGTCAGACCAAAACTCTACATGACTCAAATGGGTATGTCATATGGTGGACTGGGTGAGTACAACCCCTCCCCCAGTGCCTGCCACAGAAACCTAGGCAGAGCTCTGATGAGCTATGTGTAGCTGAGGTCAGCATGACACCAATTAAAATTCTTTCCCCTAAATTATAACTTCTCATCGATCCAATGAATTGCTTGCTAATTGCACCTGGTCCCAGTACTGGTTTGTTCTATCCAAGTAAGATAAGCAGTGCTTATTCCCTAACAGCTATGCCTGGTGCTGTCATGCCAGGTATCTGGCAGTATTTCACTAGATGCCTTCAAAGCATAGCCAGCTCCCTATTCCTTTCCATTATTATATTCAATAAATACGGGATACACTTGGGGGCCTTTGTCTTTACTACATAGAGCAGCACTGATCGGGCCCCAATATCTAGCTTCTTCACTCTAAGTCTAGTTTCCTGTCCTTGTTCTTTAATTTGCCTTGTGCTATAGTGGCTCACAGGAGGCCAGAACGCACTGCAGAGGTTCTGGCTGCATGTCCTTCCCTGTTTCTATAGGGGAAAACCTAAAGTTTACCCCCTATTAGGAAATCATGGTTATGATCAATAATGATCCATGCATACTGAGGGGCTTGGTAATGCTTGTGTTTAATTCTAGGAAGACTGTGATAATCAAATGAGATGCAATGGTGTAAACTACTAACACAGACACATGCTCTCAACAGTTTGCCAAATGAAAAAAGAAAATATAACCTGATCAACAATATGGAGAACATGTACATTGTAAGAAAAAATATTTGAATATATGTCTTAATGTATACTATATTGAATACATTAATATAATATATGGCAAATTCTATAATATGTAATATGTAAATAAATAACATTCAAAATATAGCCTATATCTTAATTTTCTTACAAATATAAAAATTCTAAAAATACATGTTACATAAAATGTTTTTAAAAATTGCAAATCTGTATTCTATATTTCATATATATATTCTAGAATCATTTACCTGACCTGGGTCTGAAAAGGCTTTGCCTTTCTATTCTCTATCCTTGACTGTTTCTGTCCTAGAACGTTCATGTTTGTCCCTAATGGGGGCATATGTGTTGGCTGGGAGAGACCAGAAAGAACATGGCTTTTATTTTTCTTTATTTGATTGTGAGGCGGGGTTATGAGGGCATCTGCTTTGAAATCTAGGACTGAGACCATATGCTGGGAGGATGCTTGAGGACATGGGCTAGTCAGACCCAGGTCTCAGCTCAGGACTTGTGACCTTACAAAGGGCCTTCACAGGCAGCCCAGGCAGACAGGCCCACATGACCATTTAACTGAGATGACCAGGGTTGATTGGAAGTAAACTCCCAACATCCTATTTGAGGGAAGCCTAATTAGGAGACAAGGTGCAGCTGAGTATGTTTTTGGACCTGAAGTTATGCTCCATGAAATAGAGGAGAAAACATGGTACTTTCTGAAAGCTGCAGCTTCTTAGTGACACAGGACCCTTCAGATGACCTGGCCTCTGTTCTTCTTGGAGTGCTCTGAGCTTGTCTTTCTTTTCCCTGCATGGAATTCTGGCTTTGAGGCCTGCGTTCTCTTTTAACCCCCAAGCTACCTTGCATAGCACTATAAGTCTTCAATGGAAAAGAGCAACTCAACAAATGGATACATCAGAGTTTAAGCCATTTTTAAAACCCAGACGTGATTTAATGTTCTCCCTTAGGGCTGTAGACCTGAGAACTTGAGCCTGTTCTAGGAATTTGCCTGAGCTGTGTAGTGGTAAAGGCTGAGCACAGATTGGGATCTGTTTTACACACGCTGAAGTGAAGGTGTGCACCTGTAGAATACAAGCCATGTTACTGGAAACTCTGTAGATCAAATAAGCAATGGCTGTTGACCAAAAAAGAGACAGGAAGTACCCAGAACTGCCCAATATGGCCATACACTTGTACCTCTTCCTGCACAGAGCAGGATAGACAGTAAAGATGTGAGAGCAGTCAAGGGGTCTTTACTACAGGTTTAAAAAGCTGACATTTTATTGGTGTGGATGGACAGCAATTGAATGTGAGTGGTATAAATAAAATTTGGAATGCTTTATAATCATGTAAGGAATGTTGATGTTTAGCACAATACTTACAGAAGACCAAAAATACAGGTTAGATAAGAAGAAATGTAAAACTAATTTCCTAATTACCTTTGATGACTCTATGAATATTTTCTGATCTATGGTATGTGTCTCATGGTTTTCAAATCCTAGATTGGCATCTCACACCATCTCATGCCCCAGTGAATGGATGATGTGTGATCAGGAAACATAAATCAGATGACCTCAGTTTAATTAAGAGTGAAAGTCAATTACAAGAAATGCCGTGTGTGTATCCAGAGCCTAAAGTAAGGGACTGGTAGGTTATCCACTCTGTAAACTTCACTGTTACAGCTGCCCATTAACCCAACCATGCACTCACCTACCTGCTTAGAGGATCTCACTCTTTTATAAATCAGAGCGACTTTTATGCATCTTTAGCACAGCAGGTACTGCCTACCTCAATAGCAAAATACATAATGTGATAAATTAACTTGAAGTAAAATTGATTGAGAATCTGAGATAGTAAAGAATTAGAAGCTAATTTTGGATGGTGTTGGAATACACTGTGTCCAAATATGTTTTTTAGGCCAATATTAAAATAAAATTGAATTTTCTATGTCCATATAAGGATTATGAAGGTTATGGTCACACTGGCCAGCCAGGTTAGAGTCTAAATTCTCCATGAATAAAACAAAAAGCACAATGTATGAATAATTTAGAGCTGACTGCAATAGTATCTGCTTACCCAGTGACATAGTGTGGTCTTGCTTTAACTATTTTAAGCATACAGCTGTACATGATGGCAAGTTGGGAAGCAGAACTGACCACCCCACAGAGGACTCTCCAGGCTGCAGGGGTGTGCAAAGACTCACAGACATCCTGCTCCTACTTGGAGCTATGTGCTCTCTTCTTTTGCCTTCAGGTCAGCCACAGGAAAATAAATAAAGTGACATTTTCCAATGATCTGTGGAATCCCCAAACCCTGACCTATCTTTCCAATTTTGGAAGCTAAAAAGAAATTGTCTTCTGAAAACTAGATTAGCTCTGTCCATGAGAAGGACTGAGCCCAATATCTGGAAGATTCCTCCTCCTTTGCTCCTCATTAACATGTACCAGTGATGACCCAAAACTTTAAGGTCAATTGTCACACAAGCTTCCTCACTGATGATGGTTTTGGTTCTCTCTGGGGACTGCATCAGACCCAGAAGACAGAGTAAGTAACCTGTCATGGCTCCTGGTTCAGGTACACTGAGTCAGGAACTCCTGTTCTTCCTGCCTTGCTGCTTAGGGAGTGGACCCAGGTCCCAGGCACATCCTGCCACAGGTTCTTGGCCCTGTCCATTTTCACTGGCTCACACTCACCTGCATGCCTCAGGGTATGGCAGCCCAGACACAGGGGAGATAAAGGGTTTTCTGTGCTCAGACCTAGAAGGGATGAGGGGGTTCTCTGTTCTAACTTTACTTACTTTATACTCATCATTGACCTACTTGTTTCATGATTATCTTTTAGAAATGCTGAGCAATTTTAGATGCAAAAGCAGCAAGAAAATCATGGTGAATCCTGGCAGACTCTCCAGCAGTCCCTCAGTATGCACCACCCCCTGAATATGCACAGAGGCTGTGAGATATTATGAACATAATCACCACCTCATCATTGTTGGGCTGGACCTGCACCCCCAGATTCACATGCTGAAACCCTAACCGCAGTGTGGCTGTATTCTGAGACAGGCCTTTCCAAGAATAATTAGAGTTAAGTCATGAGGGTGGGTCATGGTTGGATGTGACTGATCTTCTCATGAGAAAGGAAGGAGATAATAGAGCCTACATGCTCTCTCCACACTTAGAGGAAAGGCTATGTGAGGACAGGGAGGTGGCTGTCTTCAAGCCAATGAACCTACCCTGTTGGAACCTTGATTTTTTTTTTTTTTTTTTTTTTTTTGAGGCAGGGTCTCACTATACAGTTTAGGCTGACCTTAAACTCACTATGTAGCCCAGGCTGGCCTGGAACTCATGACATTCCTCCTGCTTCAGCCTCCTGACTGCTGAGATTACAGGAGTGTGCCACAACGCCTGGCCTGGAACCTTGATCTTGAACTTTAGAACTGTGAGACAGCAAATGTCCATTGTGTAAACCCCAATCCTGTGGTATTTTGCTGTGGCAGCCCTAGCATACTAAGTCAATTACCATAGGAAGAAAAGTGAACACTAATTCATTAATATTACAAGGGATGATTTTAAAGGGAGCTGACCAGTTCTGATTGAACTTGACAGACCCTGAGAGTAATTTTAGACATATCACAAAACTAAATTTATGTGTCTGCTTGCTATGCTGTGATCTAGTAGAGATACAGCTTTTCAAACAGCTTTTTGGATTTGCATGAATAATAAATGTGGTTCACAAATGCACAGACTTAAGTGACAGCCTCCCTCTTCCCACAGAAATCCGGGTTAAGTGAGACTGCTGCTTTGCCTCAACTTCCCTTTGGAGTTCTTGCTCACATGTCTCCTGAGAGGGGTGCTCGCTACCTGGTGACTCAGAATGGGAGGTGGGCTACAGAACACCTTGACAAGTTCCCAGGTGGACATTACCTAGGCAATACCACAGAACTAATTCTGCCACTTAACCTTTTATCTTGGGGCAGAGAAAACTAGAAAGCCAAACCGAATTGGCAGTCAGTCTTCTCTTAGGAGCACCCTCAAACATGGGTACCTCTGCTCTGTTCTCAGGAGTCAGATTGGAGAGCTCCCCTGGAAATATCCGCCACTCTGTGCGCCATAGGAACTTCTGGGCCGCGCCCTCCCCTGCCGGCTGCTTTCCCTGCCATCCTCAGCGCCAGAGGGCCTTCTCAGCCGCACCCGCCCCTGCTGGCTGCGTTCTGCGCCCTCTCCTGCCCGAGGTGCATTCCGCCATCTTCAGTGCCAGAGGGTCTTTTTGGCTGCGCCTTTCCCCTAGGCGTTCCGCTATCTTCAGCACCAGAGGGCTGCTTGGCCGGGCCCTCCCTTGCTGGCGCCGCTGCCGCCATCTTCAACGCTAGAAAGGTAGCCGCACCAGCACCCGCAACCCCCCCACAGACTTCCCCCTCGTGCTTTTAGACCTCCTGATTGTGCCAGTCTTTGGGCCTACTCTGTAGAGGCAGAGGTGGTCATAAAGAGTATTTTCCGGCGCTTTTAACTTTGAATATCTTTAAAGAAGGGGTGGGGGAAATTTATAGTAGAACTGAGTGAAGTTCAACCCTTCAGGAGGTCGGGGAACTCAGTCTGGGCCTTGCAGCCCGAGCTCAGCCTGCGTCATGGGGTTTTGCTACCAGCTAGCTGAGATCAGGGGACTCGGCTCTGCAAATGGTAGCACATGTTGTATATTATGACAGCAGTGATATAGTCTGAAAGAGGCCCTTCAAACTCGTTTTTATTTATTTCTTTTTTTTTTCACTCCACTCTGCAAATTATTTTTTTTTCTTTTTCTGTTTTCTTTGTCCAACTCAGTCTCTTACTCCACTATAGTATCCACTATCTCCCTTTCTGTTTCTGCTCTTGTCCTAACTCAGATTTCTTCTTTTATTATTTTTTCTCTTTTCTTTATGTTCTTTTCTTATGTCATTCTACCTCACTCAAGGGTTATTATACTTCTATTTTGTTTGTTCTTTTTGAATTTAACAGTTTCCTGACAATTGTCTGGCCATTCTACATCTTTTGGCTTTATATGAAACCTTCTCTAATTCTTTTACTTATCTACTCCTCTTGTCTTAACTCTGTCTCAAGCCCCCATTCTAAATGGTAAATATCCTTATTGAAAAGTTTATTCACTGTAAGCATATTTTGGATTGCTTTTGATTTTAATTTAATTCACATGGTTTGAAGGTGCTAGATTGATGACTATCATAAGTGGTCAATATGCAAATTGTGATTCATTATATTGTGGTGGTGATTGTATCAATTAGGATAAAGGATTGTGATTGATTCAATGAGCTGTTTTCTTCAGTATGATGAAAATGAGAATGTCTATGAGTCATTAGAGACCCATGGGCTGAAGCCCAACTAAATAGGAAGATTTGAGTAATAATCTAAAGGTTAAACTAAGGATAACCCAACAACAATAGTAAAAATGAGAAAACGCTTAAGCAAGATACAGGGACAGACTTCCAGTTCACCAGTGGCAAACAGTGGGGCAAATGAGGATGAAAAGTCTGACAGTGAATCATCAGGACACTCTGAACTCAAAGCATAGGAAGTAACAAAACTGATCAATCAGTCTCTAGAGAAATATAAAACAGAAATAATTTCCCAGATAATCATAGAGATGATGAGCAAAATGAAAGTTATGATTCATGACTCTAGAACAGAAACTGAGAGGAAAACAGATGAGCTCAGGACCATGCTAGAAGCCATGAATGCCCAGCATAAGAAAGAATTGGAAACAATAAATGCTCAATACAAGAAAGAAATGGAATCCATAGGACAGATTCGAACAGATATCCAGGAGATTAAAAACTCCATTGAGAGTGTTCACAAAAGAATAAAAGAGTCCGAAGATAAAATCTTAGATATAGAAGATAAAATTGCAGTCAGTGACCATGAAAAGAGAGGTCTCTTAAAAACAGTAGGGGATCATGAGAAATTGATACAACAACTCTTAGATGATACAAAGAAGAATAACATAAGACTGATAGGAATTCAAGAAGTAGTAGGAGAAAATGCAAATGACTTAAAAAAGCTGTTCACAGAATTAATTATAGAAAACTTCCCAAGTAGAGGGGAAGAATTTGACATACAGATAAGTGAGGCATATAGGACTCCAATTAGCTGTGATCCAAAAAATCTACACCTAGACATATAATAATCAAGATCCCAGAAACCCAACAGAAGAACAAAATACTACAATCAGTAAGAGACGAGAAACAAATTACATGCAAGGGAAAGCCCATCAGAATCACAACAGATTTTGCAATACAAACCCTTAGGTTAAGGAGAGCCTTGAATGAGACATTTCAAGTACTAAAAGAAAACAACCTCCAACCTAGACTGATGTATCCTGCAAAACTTTCTTTCAAAATGGTTGGGGAAATAAGATATTTCCATGATAAAGAACACCTGAGAAACTTTATGAATACCAAACCAGCACTACAACAAATTCTAAACAATATCCTAGAAAAAGACATTGAAGGTATCAACACAATGAGGCCCAACAGAGCAAATCAAATAGGCAAGCCAAGAAATTAAAAGGAGAAGGCAAAAAAAAAAAGACAATAATAAGTTAGTACATATCAGTTATAAACATCAATATCAATGGCCTCAATTCACCAATCAAGAGAAATAGACCAGCAGAATGGATTAAGAATCAAAATACAATAATATGTTGTATACAAGACATGTGTAGTGCAAAAAGAAGCCCATAGAATGAAAGTGAAAGGACAGAAAACTTCTTCATGTAACAGGAGCCCAGAAAAAAAAGCAGGGGTAGCAATCTTATTCACAGACAAAGTAAGTTTCAAACCTAAACTGATTGAAAGAGACAAATAAGTTCACTACATCCTTGTGAAGGGAACAATTGAAGAGGAAGATATAACAAATTATTTTTAATTTATTGAGTATGTCAGAAAGTACATATGCTTTTCTCCCTCTTTACTTCTTATTTTCTTTTTTCTTTTTCTTTCTCTGATGCAGGGGATTAAACTCGGCACATTGTTCTGGCTAGGCAGGTGCAGCACTACTGAGCTAAATCTCAGGCTTTACATTTCATATTTTTAAAATTTATCAACATATTAATCCTTGTCTTTATATGTTGGTCTACCAACTTGATGAGTTATTTTGGTTCTCATTTTCTTCACTTTTTTATTTGAGAATTTATGAAATCTGTATATATGAGTAGTATGAAAAGTATTCATATTTTTAAAATTTATCAACATATTAATCCTTGTCTTTATATGTTGGTCTACCAACTTGATGAGTTATTTTGGTTCTCATTTTCTTCACTTTTTTATTTGAGAATTTATGAAATCTGTATATATGAGTAGTATGAAAAGTATTAAGTAGTATGAAAAGTATTCATATTTTTAAAATTTATCAACATATTAATCCTTGTCTTTATATGTTGGTCTACCAACTTGATGAGTTATTTTGGTTCTCATTTTCTTCACTTTTTTATTTGAGAATTTATGAAATCTGTAGATATGAGTAGTATGAAAAGTATTAAGGTCCATCTGTCATTTTCCTCTTTCATCTCTGCTTTCTACCAACTTGCTTTTCTGTCACTATAGCTTGTTTGGTTGGAAATTTGTTAAGACAAATGTTGTTATGCTATCAATATATCTTTGTACCTACTTTCTACTGATGATGAATACTAATTTTTAAGTAAATTTTATTATAACTATACTTAAATAAATCATTAATATCAATTAGTATCTGGTACATATTACAGATTCTCCAACTCCCTCAAAGATGATATTGTTCTTTTCTCAAATTATATGAATTACCAACATTCCACACATCACTGCACTGTTTTATTATACCAAAGTATATATTGTATTGTAGAAAATATGTATTGTGTATATGTGTGGGGGGTATGTTTTTACACATATGTGTGCACTATTAAATGAGAAACATGGTCATGAATGTGTTAGGATTGTGCACATTTGGCATATTGATAGTTTCTCTGGCAACCTTATGATTTCTTGAAATTATATGCTTGACTTAATTCATAGTCATTCGTTTGGGAACAATATTACATATGTATTGGTGTTAAATTCTATCATGCTTATAAAAGTATAATAAAATAAGTATGGGATATAATAAAATAGAAACAGAAAAATCTGATCTTAAAAATGTGAATTTTTTTGGTTGTTTTTGGATTTCAAATATATTTTTTTTCTGTGGGAAGTTTTGTTAGAAAATGTAAGTGGTATAATCAACAAGCATATGATATTTATCAATTAATAAAACCAAGGAGTTTATAAATCATACAATTTTGAGAACAGTTTCTCAACTATAATATGTAACTTCGTTTTTTTTTGTAATTACATTATTTCAAAAATATAAGAAAATGAGAAAGAACATAATGTTTGAAGATCATATCAAACTAATAATGTATTTCGATAATAATGTTACATTAATTTATTTCATATCCTTTTTTTGCTGTCATATATATGTATACTTGAAATTTTTATTTAGTATCTTCATTTCTGTTATTATGTATATTTGCAATCTTTAATAAAAAAAAAAAGAAAGATCTGCCACTGTCACACACCTGTGGGTGTCCGTGTGGTGAATTCAGGATCGAAGTGGAAGGTGTCCTCAGGCCTGCCCACGGCGGGCTTGAAGGGTGGCTTGATTTCCTTCCGGTACAGCTTCTGCAGGGGAAGTAAGACAGGCTCAGGGGAAGCTGAGATGGGTATGGGCAGCATGAGACACACACCTGGGGGTGTTATAGGCACATCCACCTTCACCTAGAAGCAGCTCTCCACAAGCCAAACTTGTGTGGATGTACACACAAAAGGCAGACTATGTCAATGTGTTCTACTATATATGTCATACATGATATATCAGGTGTGATAAAAATATAGTGAGTGCTTAAAAATATTTCTTACAGTAAAAGATACGTTAGTACTAGTTCCCCTCAAAACAGTCCCCCTGGCTTCAAACACATTAATCCCATCATTCTTGCCACTTTCTGAAGCAGTTCTAGAAGTCCTCTTTCATGAATGTCTTAGTTGTGCTGTCCCGGCTACCTTGATGTCCTAATTGATCCAAAATGTTTACTTTTATGGTTATTTTGATTTTGGGGAAGAGCCACATAAGTGGCATGGTGCTAGATCTGATTAATAAGGTGGATGAAGACATACTGTAATGCTTTTAGAAGCCCACCTTTGTTACATGGTACTTGACAGCAGCATTCACTGTATTTTTTATTACACCTCATAAAGATACTCACGCAAGAGGACTTCCAGAACTGCTGTGGGTGAAGGTCAGCTCAAAGTGCTCTGGAAATGGAAGACCTGAGAAGGTCTTGTGCACCTCATCTTTAGTACCCTATTGTCCTTATCTTGCTAGGGGGTCAGGTTATTGGCTAAAAATACCAATTCCAAGACCCTCTGACTAAGGGATCTGGAGCTCAGCTCTGTGGCCAGGGATCCACTGGCCAGGCAGGTCTGGGTGGCAAAGGCAGTGACTCTAGATGAAAATGGCCATGAATGTCTTAGTAACAAGGGAAAGCAGATTTCATCACCTTATCAGACAACAAAACTGAGATTCAAATTCAAAAAGTAACTTATCCAAGACCAAGAATGACTGGAAGGCAGACAGGGAGGGGTAGCCAGGGCTCCTGACTCTTCTGAAAGCCCCAAGTACTAGGCAAAAGGCCTGGGTGTAGAGAATGGGGGCTTAAGGGGAAGGGAGCTCAGAGGCAGGATGCTGACCCCTGATTCTTGCCCTGGGCACACCTGCTAAGCAAGAGACCAGGCGGGCAGCAGAAACACCAGTCCAGAGGGCCGGGGACTGGGCATCCACAGAGGAGAACTGTGTGGAACTCAGCCTGTGTTCCAGGCTATTTCCTGGCCTGGGTGAACATCTTTGTCAGGAACTGAGTCCTTCCATAGGCCCTTTCCAGAGAGAAAAAGAGGCCACATCCTGCTGTAAGACCTAAAATCTCACTTCCACTCCACGGAGCGTGAACAGCCAAAAAGGCCTCCACAATGCTGGGCCCAACACCCAGCGAGGCTCCGGGAGCTCGACGGAGAACGAGAAACCCAGGAAGGAACACACCAGGCTAGATGGTAAAGAGACCTTTATTAGTCTGGCCAGACGGCACTCCCGGAGCCAGGTGGCTCAGAGAGGCGCCTAGCTCAGGGGCCGAGTTCCTCTTATAGGGAGTAAAAGGAGGGGGTTAACATTTTGGGCTCACAGACAGGGGACAAAGGTCTGCTGACTTGAGCTGGTGGTCAGCAGTCACACATTGATGAGTAACAGGTACCACCTATAGGATGTCTCAAAGGTCACTAAGACACTCCGGATGAGCAAACAGTTTGTCAATTAGCTTGGGCTCTATGTCTGGAGTCTCTAATTTACAGGTAGATTCAGATCTGGACTTCAAACAATACAAGAGTGATTCACATTCTTAGGCCCGGGCAGGAACAAAGGTCAGGGCTGTGGCTACAATGGGAGGGCTTCAGGACACTGTCTCCTAGGCCCTTTGCCATTTAGCAAGGGCTTGTAATTTAGGTCCCACACTGCAGTGATGCAGGCACAGGGCAGAAGCAAATCTTCCGAATGCACACAAAAGCTCTGGAACCCTGCTGCTGCTTTGCGTACAGAGCTCTCCTGTCATGCTTCGCCTGGGGCAGCAAGTGAAGTCTGTCCTATTGGAGTATAAGACACGTTTTCTTGGCAGGGGTGGAGAAAGAGATGGAAAAGGAAGAAAGGAAAGGGGGGAGAAAGAAGGGAGAGAGAGAGAGAAAGGAGAAAGAGAGAAAGGAAAGAAGGAAGGAAGGAAGGAAGGAGGAGATAGGGAGTGAAAGAAGGGAAAAGGAGGTGAGAGAGAAAGGAAGGAAAGGAGGAAAACAGAGATAGGGAGAAGGGAGGGCTCCATTACAAAGCAGGCTTCCTACTTTTGTCAGAGGGATTTATTCACAATGAAGATTTCTACTAAAAACAAAACAGAAGACACAAAGGGCTGCCACCCCTGCATCCCTTTCCAGGGAGAAGTGTTTGCCTCTGGGAAGCCAGAGCTAACACGGGGCTCACACGGGGCCACTTCAGTTTCTTCTCATGCCTTCAGGGACCCTGTGTGGGGAAGGAGGTGCAGCTTCACTGCCTGAGAAAACAATCCCTCAGATCCGCGCTCCTTCCCTCCCCGAGGGCGTCCACGTTGGCCATCTGGCAATGTGTGGAGAGGTTGGTTATCACCCCGCGCCCCTCGCCACCTCGCAGGTGGAGACCAGCACTGCCACTGAACCCTGCAAAACTCAAAGCAGCCCTGCAACAGAGAGCACCTGCCCCGGACGTCAGTGATGTCTGCGCGCCCTCCTTGGCCTTTCCTCCCTCACCTGTGCTCTGTCTACCTGCAGAAAGACCACACATCTGGCCTCACGAAGAAGCAGATGTGGACGTTACAGCACTTGGGCACTTGGCCTCTCTAGGGGATCCCGACATGGGCAAAGCTGGCTGTGTCCTTGACCTTTCTTATGACATCTGGTACAGGGCGCATGCTGTCATTTCATGAGGAAACTGATGGTTTGTAAATTCAGGCTGCCCAAGAAAGCAAGGTTTATCCCTGACCAGTCCTACTTGGCAGAGGGCTCACACCAGGAGGCTCGAAGATTTTATCCAGAAAAAAAAAAGGACTCATTAGAGTCAGTCCGAACCCAGCCAGGGTACTCTGAGAGCCTCACTTGGGCTGAGAATAGTACGCAACACATCAAGGAACAAGAGAGAGTGGGTAAACGGGTCCCTCTACCGCAGGGTCCTGCCCTGGGCATCTTGGCACCGGCCCACCCTATTCACTACCTGTATTGTGCCCAACTCGCTCCACTTCTCTCCACACCTCTGCAAGCTCACCGCAGGACCGGGTGATCACGTGGTGCGTCTGTGGTCACACTGGGCTTTAAAGCTTTTTGTAAGCATGGGCGTCTCTCTTTTGACTTTTCCCATCCAGGCCTATGAGTCTCTGTGTGGGCTGCACAGATCCCAACCTGGCCAGCGCGAGGCAGGCATGAGAGCATGCATAGAGCAGGTCCTTCCAGGGTCCAAGTGCTGGTTATTTCTGGGAACACAATCTGTCTACTGGGGGCCACCACACCCTCCCCCCGCCCCCCCGAGGTTGCTGTAGCTGCAGTCCGGTCTCAGTGTTTGGTCTTAGCGTGGGGAGAGCTTCAGTCTCTCTGTGTTGCTCTTCTATGGCTCTTTGGAGCCAGGCACTCTGCCCTTTGCTTAGTCATCCTGGATGCATGGTGAAATTTTAAAGGTGGCTCAGTTTCTTCCTGTTTTAGCATAAACATTCTGGAAGGTACTAATACATACTATTAACATATATGCTTTCCTTTTCCTTGTGTCCAAACCTAAGAAAGGATTTGAACTGGGTGGTGATTTTTGCCTCTGCTTCTGAATGCAAACCGTGGCACACAGTTGAACTGAAGAGAAAGCAGCAGCAGCACCCTCCTACACCTTGAACGTGATGAAATACGTGGCAGACATTCTAACTTGGAGTCCCCCTCTCTGAGACTCCAGAACAAGTCACATCCATTCTGATGGAAAGAAAATAGGGCCTTCTGGTTCAGTTCACCACGTATATGTTTAAATCATCTCATTTGTTTGAAGATGTCAGATTGCACAAGTCTAGCAGTGACCTCGAGACAGATGTCACACCACACGTGCATATGCAAGGAATCTCTGAGCAGGCACACTAGGATTCTATTTATACCTAAAGGACCTTCGGGTAAGTAAGAAAAGGACACAGAGAGTACAATAAAATGGTGACTGGATAATGAAGGAGGAAATTAGTTCTGGTTTGGGACCACAGACCCTAACATCTGCTTTCTGCCCCATTTTGGTCCCAGACATTTCAAATTAACATGCCCCAGGAAGGCTAAGGACACATCTATAGACTGTCCCTGAAATAGCTAACACAAACATATGCAGGTGCAGGAAGGTAGCAGAACAGAAGGAACAGGGCAAATTTAAATGATTTCAAGGGCATCATGGTGGGGCAGAGCTCTGCCTACAGTTTATCCCAACTGTAAGAGGTTCTACAGAGGCATGTAGATTACAAAACTGCTAAATCAATGAGTCCTTGTTGAGCTTCTGAAAGGGTGAGCTCCCTTGATACAGTAAGCACAGAGACAGAGTGATGGAATCTTTCTTTGGGCACTGGGAGTGGAGACGGTGTATGGGTCCCTGACCTGACCCAGTGCCTGAAATCAACTCCTGTGAGGTGCTGGAAATGCTGTGCCTGTAGGCAGCAAGGTCAGAGTGACCTGGAAGTCCCCACTCTGCTCCTGCCCATTCACATGACAGTCAGGGTGGGCATTCTTCTGACCGCTCTGTGCCCAAGTTTCCCATGAGAGTCCCTCTCATCTCACAGATTAAGAGTTGCTGATGCGCTTGGAAGGGGTTGAAATGTAAAAAGACTATAAGTAACTCAGATTAATAACTAATAATAAAGGTAACTGCAATCACACATGAGAGGTGGTTATTCTTGGGGTCCCGCCACACGCGGTGCTCTGGGAACAAAGAAGTGGAGCAACCAACATCTTCTCCCTGTGACAGTGTCAGATGCAGCCCTGAGCTCTGCTGGTCTCAGCCAGGTCTCTGTGCAAAGGAGCCAGGCTGGGCTGGAAGCTACTGAGGACTGGCTGTTGTAGCCAGCATATTACCTTTTCTGAAGCTTATTTTAGGTTCACACTAATCCTGTGTTCTCAGCATTGCCTCAGCCACGGAGGAAAAATAAACACAGCTTGTATTTGCTGGACTCTAGCACACCCTGTAAGAGGTTTCCAGTCTATAATTAACTTGTGATTTTTCACTTAGCTGGTCACACACGAGAGCCTCCAGAAGGCTGCCCTGGAGCAGACGTTAATGTGCCGGGAGTGGAAAGCAAGAGCAAAGGCAACACAGGGCAGACGGGTGCAACCCATTTCTCTTGTTAAACGATGTGTTCTGCTCCAGCAGGTCACCTGAGCCCTCAGGGGATGGCTGGTGGATGACAGGTGTTTATTTAAAGAAAAAAATCTGCTGGCAGTTTTGGGTCACAGAAGGCAGCAGAGAGGAAAATAAATATCTTTATGTTTTCCCAGCTGGGTCCTGAGGCAACAGTCTGGGTGAGGTCCCCTGGCTGGTCTTCTCCTTCACCTCTTCCAAGTGTCAGTGTTGCAGCAGTAAGCCTCTGGCGTGATCTTGCCGCCAGGACTGAAATGTGGCTGACAACCAAGGACTGCCGCGTGAAACATTCCCATGGACTTTCTAAAGCACAGTGTGTGGAAGTGGGCCCAGGCTAGTCACCAAGATACAGGGGCTGTTACCTTGGCCACAGATGCAAGGACAATGCCCAGGCTTTGTCTGTGAAAGGGATCGGCAGAGATCGGGAAATCGCTTATCCTGTCTCAGCAGGTTCTGCATGGCTACCAAGACCATGTGGGCCCAGTGGTTCTTTCCAAGACCCTGAAGTGTCATGTCCATGGTCTTTATTAAGAACACCCTTTTTGCTCTCCCTGTGCTCTTGCTGCAATTCCCAGGCCTCTCCTCTCTTCTCCTCGGACACTCACACTGTGTACTGCTTCTACAGTAGGACAACAGGCTTCTGGTGCAATAGATTCTCCCAGGTATGAGTGACTTGAGGATGGAGCTGTATTTTCCAACCATTATGTTGAGGATGGCACTCAGGCAGGTGTCACACATTACTTACTGAATAAATAAATTAATGCAGGAACACCACGTCAGGTGTCAGGTCTCCCTACCACTCACAGACTGTTAATTCAGAGGCCTGGATAGAATGAGGGACTTGCCTCCTTCCAGCCTCTATGAGGCAGCCTTTGGCAAGGACAGGGACAAGAGTAAACGTGCTTGGTCCTAGAGGACAGAAAGATCTCTCTCAAAGTTCATCTTCCTGTTCAAACCCCAAGACCCTGCCAAGCTTGCCTAGCACCACTAGCATGCCTTCCTGGACACCATACACCTTACTGGACACATACAGTGGAGACAGCATCTGTTTGCAGCATCTGTCAAGGTCTCCTTTGGCAAAGTGCTTTGTGGAGCAGTCACCAGGAGACATGGCTGGGGATCTTCCTAGGATTCCCCATCCCAAGCTCCTTCTCTTCCAATCTGCAGCTCCTTGCACACCATATCTGCCCAGCAATCCCCTTCTCCATTTCCCAAGCATGGTCTCTGAAGGTGACAGAGAAAGGAAATGGAAGGGACAATATCTTTCCACAGCCACCACTCCTGACCTGAGGTTCCTCCCTCGGCCCTGCATAACACACTCCTTCCTCCCTTCCTCCCTCTCTTCCTTCTTTTCCCTCACACACTAGCATTCATCAGGTGCCCTGCTCAGGCCTGGGGGACAGCTCCAGACCAGAGCCCCAACCTCCTGTAGCTTGCACCCAAGAGGCAGGAGGCAGAAAATAATACAAAGCCGAGGTCAGTTATATGGTGTGGCACATTCAAAGGTGACAGGTGGGAACAGGGCTAGGTTCAGAAGTAGGGTGAGGGGACACAATTGCATGCCTAAGAAAAGGCAGGGAGGAGGAGGTGGGGTGGGCTTGCAGAGTGTGGGATGAGGCTCCAAGAAGACAGGCCAGCCAGAGCCCAGCCTGGAGGTAGAGGGCCAGGGATACATACACTGTCTTCCCACCTTCCCACTTACCCCACCCTGCCTCACTTCCTCCTCCTTCACAGAATAGCATTCTTCTGGTGAGGAGGTACACGTTCATCTGCTCAATAGGACATCAGACTCCAGGGGTGGGACTTTGCTTTCCCACTGCTCTACCTCAGACCCAGAAATTGCCAGAAACACAAAATACCAACACAGGTGGCTGGGTAGACAAATACACAGATGATTATCAGAGCTGTGCATACTGCCCCGAATGCCAGTGGAGAGCCCCAAGTCATGCTGACAGCGTCACTAATGCACGCCCACCAATGCAGGTCCTAAAGTGCTGGCTCCAAAGCCCAGATGCGGAGCTGTGTGGATCGTCCTGCAGGGACACATACTGGCCACTGTCAACAAGAGGTGGGGCTGGTCTATAAGCCAGTCTCCACAGAAAGGAGAATCGCCCCAGAAAATATTCTCCAATCATGAACCACGGACTGAAAATGATCTTTAGGTGCCTGCAAGAGACTGAGTGGCCCGAGCATCTCAAAAGCCTAAAGTTTTAGGAAAGCTAAGCAGAATCTCAGGGGAGGCATTGTTTTACCTCTTGGAGAACCTGCATTCCTCCCACTTTCTCTGGAGAGGGGGACACAACCTGATTTCCACTTGCTCTTGGAGCATGGATTCCCACCTGCTGGGCACTGTGGGCATCTTGAGAATTCATACTTCCTTCCATCTTACTTGGAGTAGAAGACTCATTTAAACAAGTTGTACATCAGAGCTGGAGAGTCTGGGTGCTGCATAGAATCTCCCTGGACTGCCCAGTGTGAATGGGGCTCAGGTGGAAAGAGGAGTTGGTTTTACCCAGTACCAGTTAGCACGCTCTCCACTCTTGGAGGCCCCAGACCAGTGGGGACACAGCAGAGAAAGGAGATTAGATTGTCAACAAACTCCGTGCTATGAAAAGGGCATTTTGATGTTTTAAGACATTCCTTTTAAAATCCTCTGATTAATTTGTGAGCTCAGGGAAAGAAAATCTCATGTGATTTTTTTGTCAACCTAAAGGAAAGGGCAGCAGGCAGCCGTTATCATGGGGGCATCCTCTTTGGGAGAGGAGAGTGGCCTGTTGTTCTTGGATTCCTGATATCTCCTGGTCACACAGGCGTCAGAAACCAATGGTATCCACAGCCCAAACAGCTGGTGTCTAAGCAGAAACTGGCAGGGCTGAGGATAGCGCAGAGGCTGTTTACACCGGTCCTGGTGAGTCACAGGTGGGGAGGGGTTGCAGTCTGTACTTCTTGCAAGCCAGTCCTGAGCGTTCTCTGCCCACAGGTGGCTCGGTTTAGACAGAGCTGTGTGTGCTAAGCAGCAGCCTCCTCCCCAATTCTTCTCCCTGTATCAGGGTATACCATTGGGGGACTGTGGCATGCAACTTACGTTCCAGTCAATAGTAACAAAGAAAGGATGACGCTTAATTTCCTCCACTCCATCAATGCCAGCACCTGTCATAACAACAAAGCAGAGATGGTGCGTCAGAACAGATGCAAGATCGCCTGTTGTCTCTGACAGTTCCTAGTACAGCAGTGTGAGGGGCTGGGGGCACAGGGGCTGTGAGCTCAGGCTGCTCCCACTGTCCTGCAAAGCCCCCGTTCAGCATGTGACAAAGACAATGGTGCTTTCTGTTCCAGGCTTGAAAACTCTGGACACCCAAAGGGGCCAGTGGCTAAATCACAGATGAAGACTGTGCCTGCTTGAGATCCCCAGAGTGCAGCCTCAGGCAGAAGCTCTGGTAGCCAGAGTGGAAGGGGCCATGGGAAGAGCACCCGGCTCTGCTGCTTCCCCAGTAGGGAAGGGAAGAATACTGCGGGAGAAGGTGGAGGTTAGGTAGGACTGAACCCAGGGCATGTGCAGTCTGGCCCTGCATCCCTCTGTCCAGCACCTGACCTGCTCAAGACCAAGACAGTATCTCTCTGCAGACAGCTGCAACTCTCTCTGCTTTGTCCCTTACTTCTACCTCACCTCTTCCTTACTTGGCTGCTTATATCAAAATCACAAAGCCCTGGGTGGGGAGTAGGCAAGACACGGGGGTGACTGGGTCACTCGGTGTGAGGCTGGGATGGTAGGTGGATGTGTTCTCACACAACTGCCCGAACTCTCACTGCCTGTCAGCTTGAACCTGATGTCAACGGTGGACTTTAGTGACAGTGTCAGTATTGATTTATCAACCATGACAAATGCCCCACAGTCAGGCAAGATGTTTACATTTGGGGAACTGAGTGACAGAGGAGGCGCGAGCATACTTTCTGTTCATTTTTTGAAGTAGACTTAAAACTGCTCTAAAAATAAGGTCTATTAACTAAAAGAAAGAAAGAACCCTTCAGTTATATGAGGTTGGTGCTTTCCCTAGGATGGAAAGACTGGGGAGAAGCCTGATTCCTCCCTTCTGTGAGTCAGCGAGTGGGATGGAGGGGAGAGTGGGTAGGGACCTGGGTCTCCTGCCGGCTCCCACTCCAAGTCTGGGGAGGCATGGGCCCCAGACTCTGCACACAGAGCTCCTCTCTGCTGCTCTGATAGGGCCTCCTCCCTGAGTCCATCTCCACACAGCCTAGTGGATCCCATTCTATCCTGTCCCAAGGTTGCCTCCTTCTGTGTGAGAATCTTAGAGCAGGGAGCCAGGAGTGAAGGGCAGCACAAGGTCATCCTGTGATTCTGTGGTGACCTGTCCTACCTGGGACCTTACTGTCTGGTCTGTGAAGTGTGGTGACTGACCCTTTCTCCACAGCATGTGGAAGCCACTGGAGGCAGAGCCACTGTGGACTCCATCACTCCTGTCCTGACCCCTCTGTTCCTGCTTATGGGAAGGACAACGGATAGGGCCTCAGGAATGTTCTCTATGTGGATGACAGCACAGGGCCACCTCACACTGCTCCCGTAGAGATTTTCTGGACCTTGTAATTCTAAAGAGCTGCTTTGACCAAGTGTCCTGTAGCATTCTCTGGCTCCTCGTTCCCTGGGAGTGTTCAGGCAGCAATTGAACTTCTTCGCTATGAAACATACAGGAGGGGAACTAGAGAAAGGTCTAGAAACTGAACATTTCTGTCCCTACAAGAACTTGGTAGAGGCATCAGCATGTCCTTTCCTCATGGTGGTGCAGAGGTAACCTCAGGATTATCTGCCATGCATGAAGTGATTGCTTTACAGATGAGAAAAGTGAGGCAGAAGTAGGCTGGGTAACTTGCTCCAGGACACATCAACCATGAGTTGTAGAAATGGGATTTGAAGGCGGATCTGCCAGACTTAGCTGAAATGTCCCCTTCTGAGGACTGTACTTTGATCTTCAGATTCTATTTGGATCTTTGCTCAGTGCACAACACACTACCCCCCAACTCTACTCTACTCTAGAGAAGGGTATGATGTAAATTTGAGATGTGGTACAGTGAGGGCAAGGGTCTCATTCTTTGATCACCTGTCCTCCTCTACTTCACATGTTTAACATGGTAACCCCCTGATTTCACTGTGGGCTTCTTAATTCTCAGAAAATATTCCCCAAAGATCTTATTATCTACCAAGAACTTTTTTATTATTGTCTGCAGATAGCTCTGGGAAATAGTTGAATCCTTTGCAACATTCACAATTTTGTTATTCTTTTGGAGTCATGCAAAATCCACCCAGAAGTTTTTGGGGACATTCTGAATGCACTTGGCTGTGGTTCTCTTCGTGGAACACTGCCTCCTTTTCCCAGAGGCAGATTGGAAATGTCCAGTCGATGACTCTCCAGGTGATTTCCAAGATTGATTTAAATATACATGCTAGCTTTGCTGTTTTGTTTCTTAATCATTAATAGATAATCTACCCATTACTTCTTTAGTTTTTAAAGTATTTTCTGCTCACTTGGAATTTCATCCATTTGACTTTTATGCTCCTTGCCTAGCACTGGCTGTACCCTGAAGGGCACCGCAGGTGACAGGCTGGGTGGGCGTGTGCACATCTTCTGACAGCCCCAGCCCCATGGGTCCCTGAGGTTTTCCTGGGCTGGCTGGGAGCGAACCACCTCCAAGGAGGGGTGGCGGTGTTTGTGTGGTCTCAGAGCAAGCGGCCAGAGGTTGGCTTATAGCATGAATTTGTAGCATTGCTCATGGAAACCTAGGTGAGATTTTCAGCAGTCAGGATGGACAACATTTGACATCATGACTGAACATCTTTTAGAGCTCATCTCAGGGCAGGAAACAAGAGAAACAGAAACCCACGGGTGCTTCGGAAGAGATCATGATTGCTCTAGTTGATGATCATTTACCTGCTGTGCTATTTTTGTGTACATCAGCACAAATTAGTCCCTTCCCAGCCTTTGCCTCAAGTCACCTGGGAGAATCTTCCAAGAGTTCCTGGGAGAAGCTGTGGATACTCATTAGGCATGAGCTTGAAAGCTCTCAACTTTAGGAAGACTGGGAAGCAGATTCAATAGGTTTATGCTCCCTGTAATTCTTCCTGTCCCACAGGAAAGTCAAGAGAGGAACATTGGTTTTGAAAATTAGCTCTCCTAGTTCCCATCATACTGTGGTTAGAAATGGATATGCCACAAGCTTCCATCAGAAGAAGCTTTACTCAAGTCAGGATGCAGCAAAGAGGACTTCACTTGGCCCAGCCCACAGAGCTAATCACAGACCTGCTCCCCAGGTTGGGACTGGTTACCAGCTGGGTCCAAGAGTGCAGCAGAGCCCAAGAGGCAGTGCAGGTCTGATGAGCTCTGTTTTTGCAGAGTGTAACCCAGAGCCCTTCTGTTTGCATCACTGGGAAACCACGCGATGACTGAACCCTGGCTTCCACCTCTCCTTTCCCTTAACACTATTTTGAAACACCAGATTTGCAAATTATCCAGAATAACAGAGTGCTGGTCTTAGGAGGCACCCTTCTGGTCACAGGTAAGGAATCTGAAGGCCAACCAGGGGTGAGAATCCCCAGGGCTCTAGCCATGGAACATACCTGCATCTCTGTCCAGACCTATTCACCCCATACAGCTGCTGTTCTGGTCAAGGCTGATATGTACCTGCCTGCATCCTTCACGAACCCTCCAGCCAGTCCTACTCCTTTTGGGCCATCACATACCCACAGATAGATGTGCCATTCTTTTTTGTTTTATTTTCTCCACTCCCCACAAGAGTACTGGGCACTGAACCTTAGGACTGAGCTCCATCCCCAGTGCTTTTTTTGTATTTTGAGACAGGGTCTTGATAAGTCCCTAGATTGCCCAGGCCTGGTTCAAACTTGTGATCCTTTTGCCTCAGTCTCCTAGAGTTCTGGGATTACAGACCTGTGCCACCGTGACTGGCTGGGTGTGCCTTTCTTTGTTTTTGTGATTTTGCATAGAATGCTTCTTGGACCTGAAATGCCTCTGACACCCAGCACACTGCACATACTCTGTGAGCAACCCAAGCATTCTCACAGAGCAGCTCCACTGCCCTGCCCCCGACCACAGCTGTTTTGGGGTTTTGAACTCTCTTTTATCTACGATAATCTCATAATATGTAATAAAAACTGCACGGCCCAAATACTTTATTGAAGTGCTGCCTTTGTCATCATGGCCTGGACATGACCACAGATTGTCTGCATGATAACTTGGGAGGCAAAAAGGGCCAGCACTCTTCTTAAAAAGAGAGGGCAGGGGATAAATGATCATAGCACTGTACAAGGCTAGTGTGTAGGGCACATGCTTCGAATGCAAGAGGGCCTGTGTTCAATTTCCAGTACAGGAAAAAAAAAAAAAAAGGACAAAACATTGACGGCAACAAGAAAACCAGTATTATGTATGGTTCTTCCAGAAGGAGGGAGGTCTTTATGCAAAAACCTTCACAAGATGTTTGATTTCAGAAATACAATCTTATATCCTTAAGACTATGATTATATAATTATCTTTCTTATAGTTCTCTAAACCTTGATAGTCTCTTCACCAAACTGCTCTACAAAATGACAATTCTGCAACCAATTCAACGAACACAAATAAACTGAGACTTTTATACAATTCATTAAATCCAACTAATGTGAAATTTCAGGGAGTTCTCCTCTGCAGGGGAAGAGAGGAAAATGTTATCGTCAACATAAATTAAAGTAAAATAGAATCAACTTGTGAATTAAAGATAGCTCATTTTTCAAGCCTGACAGGCGAGTGCAAGAAGTCCTATGAGAAATGTAAACTACACATGGGAGTGTTCCAGAAAAGCCTCTCAATTTCCATTAAGACTTTGAAGCATGGAAGAGGGCCTTTGTTGTGGAGTTAGAAATAAATTACCAATGCTTACTTCTGATTTATGGCTTCTACCGTTTGACATTGCTCTAGAATCCAGGCAAAGCCCCCTTCGCAGGGGAACCGATGGCTCTTACACTATATACTTCAGGGTGAAAGTCCTGCTCTGAGTTCTGTGATGAGAATGTGAATCTTGACTCTCTCCGATCCATTGTTTTGGAGGCACACATGCAGCAGGACCCTGACAACCCAGGCCCTTTCCTC